GTTATTAAATTGTGCTAATTTGCACAGGTTTTATTTCCTGTTTTGAAAGTGAAGGGGTTTGCGGACTGAAGCTCTCGGTTCAGCGTACGTGCACAAGCCAATATTTGTATTATTTCTAACCCAACTGCGAATGTTTGCTTCCTTTCTTAAACCTGAAAGAGGTCTTCCTCCAGCATGCCAGCCCTGCCTCATTGTGTGTGGATTATACGCATGTTCATGTAGGTGTGTGTGTGTGTGTGTGTGTGTGTGTGTGTGTGTGTGCCTTGGACGCCAGAGCACTAGATGGAATCCATTGTTGTCCTCTGCAATTTCAATCAGGGATGTAAGACTTCTCATAAAGGTTTATGAGCAATATTTGAAAGATGTGGGTATGGGGACATTTATACCCAGCACATGGATGGAGAAGAGAACCAGAGTACTTTTTATTACTTGAAATGCAAGAGTCCAGTGGCTGCTCTGAAAACTGAATCAGTCCTTAAGAGAAGCAGATGTAGATGAAAGCCTCTGTGTGGCCTTTTTGTCCATTAGACATGCACAGTAGACTACGTCCAAATAACTGGCAATAATAACAACTAGTAAAGTTCTCAGTAAATAGTACTTAACAAAAGCAGTAGACAAGCTGTAAGAAAACCTCCTTTCCTTCCTTGAAAAATATTTTAGCCTGTAATTAAATGTTATTAGACTAGCAGGCTGGGACCCTCCCTGGCACCAGATAGAGAGTGTGGTGCTGACCATCCAACCCACATAACTTGGCACAGTTGCGAGCACAGACCAGACCACTTCCGCCGGCAGAAGGACGACAATGGCCCGCTGTGGGGGGCTCAGCTGGTTGAGGTCAAATGCATGTGCACACGCGCACAGAGACACACATACACTTACACAAAACCGGTCTCAATAGGGCTCCAGTGTGGGAAATAAACACTCAAACCGGCCCCAATCTGAGCCAGAAAGCTTTATTAACCTGCCTGTCAACACAAACATACTGGGTAAGACAGTGAAAGACAGTGAAAGAGAAATGGAAAAGTGCTCTAAGCCCCCACAGGTCAAGGGCAGACCCAACCCTCTTGGAGTGACAAGAGCTGGCAGGGACAAGTGAAGATGACAGGCTATATTTAAAGAGGGCAGCCGTCATAAAGGTCACTTCAATTGAGAAAAATTTCCCAGTAAATAGGAGCAGTTTTTGACCCTGTCGTTTCAGCTCAAAGCTTTAGACTCGACTGAATGTATCCAAGCTGCTGTGTGGAGGAGTCTAAAAGAGAAACATGTAAGAGCTCAGGCTCATTCAGAATGCAAGTGCAATCATGTACACTTTGTGGATGATACAAGGAATAGCATATGTGAGTGAGACCTTGAAAGTGTAATAAACCTCCAGTTCTTCCACGAGCCCTGAATACTAAAAACTGCTTTTATGAAAAAGCTCCAGAAATTAAATAAATGAGGATTTCCTGTAAATTGTTAAAATTTAAATAATGTGATTCGGCTACTGTATCTCTGGATACAAAGCAATCTGGCTTTCTTTAGGTAACAATCAAGGAGAAGGACAGCTCAGCTGCTTAAGTTTCTTTGAGTGTGAGTGTGAGTGTGTGTGTGTGTGTGTGTGTGTGTGTGTGTGTGTGTGTGTTTGTGTGTGTGGGTGTGTGTGTGTGTGTGTGTGTGTGTGTATTCAGACCCCGTCACGTTTTGCACATTTTGTTATGTTGCATCTTATGCTAAATTTGTTTGAATTAATTTCCTTCTCTCATCAATCAGCACTCAATTCACCATAATGACAAAATGAAACTGAATTTTAGAAATACGTCCACCTGTGGTAAATTCAATTGTTAGGACATGATTTAGAAAGGCACACGTCTGTCCATATAAGGTCTCACAGCTGACAATGTATATCAGAGCAAAAACCAAGCCATGAGGTGGAAGGAACTGCCTGTAGAGCTCAGACAGGATTGTATTGAAGCACAGATCTGGGGAGGGACACAAACACATTTCTGCTGCATTGAAAGCTCCAAATGGTAAAAGTTTGGAACAACCAGGACTCTTCCTAGAACTGACCGCCTGACCAGTCAGGGGAGAAGGACCTTGATAAGAGAGGGGTCTGACAACATGATGAACAAGAAAGGAGAAACTTCCAGAAGGACAACCATCACTGCAGCACTCCACTGATCTAGGCTTTATGGCAGAGTGGCCAGACGGACGACTCTCCTCAGTGACAGACACATGAAAGCTGCTTGGAGTTTGCAAAAAAAGCACCTAAAAGACTCTCAGACTGTGAGAAACATAATTCTTTGGTCTGATGAAACCAAGATTGAACTGTCTGGCCTTAATTCTGAGTGTCATGTCTTGAGGAGGAGCACCAAGCTACACTCATCACCTGCCCAATACTATCCCAGCGGTAAAGCATGGTGGTGACAGCATCATGCTGTGGGGGTGTGTGAGGGACAGGGAGACTGGTCAGGGTGACGGACAGCTGAGTGACTGGTCCAAGCAGAATCCTGACTTGAACCCCACTGAATATCACTGAACAGACCTGAAAATGGCTGTCCACCGACAGTCCTCATCCAACCTGATGAAGAATGGCAGAAAAATCTTTAAATCCAGGTGTGCAAAGCTTGTCACGTCATATCCAAGAAGACACGAAACTGTAATCGCTGCCAAAGGTGCTTCTACCAAGCACTGGGGAAAGGTACGATATTTCAGTTTCTCATTTTTAATAAATTTGCAAGGATTTCTAAAATTTTGTTTTTACTTTGTAATTATGAGTTATTGAGTGCAGATTGATGAGGGACTTTTTTATGTTTAGTCTATAACTATTATCTATTTCATGTCAGAAAACTGAAAAATCCTCATCACAAGCTTACAGAGCCCAAGGTGATGTCTTCAAAATTGCTTGTTTTGTCCGACAAAATATCTTAAACATATTCAATTTACAATCATATTCAACACAGTAAATACTCAAATGTGAGAAGCTGGGGCTGGAGAATCACTGGTATTTTTGCTTTCAGGAAATTTGAAGAAGCTTTTGCAAATCATTAAGTCTGTTAGAGAAGCAAGAAATCCCACATATCATTAATCTTGATTTTCTGGTACTTTTACAATTAAAACTTTTGATCTGATGCTAATGTTTTGTTGTGCAAAAACTCTGTTAAATTTCTTTACCTGCTGGTATCTTTTCCTTCTAAGCGCTCATTACTACGACTTGGAATTCAGAGCTCTTTTCAAGAAAAATTAACAAGGTCGCACGGAACAAAGACACCACTGGTGAATTCTTGGCAAAAGATACTCAGAGAATTTTGTCACCTAATATTGGCTTGGATGCTTTCAGCTTCTGTGAATGTGTTCAGATTAAAGTAAAAGAAAAAAGTGAGAACAAGTGATCAACACATGTTCTCAATTATTTATATAATTTTCAGTTATCAAAGTATCAAAATATATTAATTAATTAATATATATTAAAATATTTTGTCAATCAACTAATCAATTACACTTTACACCAGCAACTTTGTTTTTAATAAGAAAATGCTGAATTTTTTTTTTTTTTTTTTTTTTTTTTTTTAAAAAAGGGCTGAAACACACTTTTTGTTTGTTTTGAAATCTACAACTTCTTTACATTTTATGTTATTTTCTACCAATTCTTCAACAGCACTGCAGACAATGTGAGTGAATATTAAAGCTTCATATTTGCATTTACTGTATGGATGTACAAAACAATTACATAGTGGCCTTAATAAAGGTTCACTTGTGGTATAAGTGTGCCATGTGGGTAATGGGTGCTGAGGCCTGAAGTCATATCTCTCTATTCAAATGCATGTCAGTGGAATAGATTAACTGTACTTGAAATTAGATGCGTGTGAGTGCATCAAGGTGCGTGCAATACTCGCTGTCTGAATGCACAATTGCCTGCACGAGTGTTGCAGGCTGAGGTGGTACCAGGTGAGGTGGCAGCCCTCATATGCACATTCCACGCACACACACACAAAAGACACACACAGGCCTGTCTGATGAAAGCTAGGTACCAGAATAACTGTCAAAGCCACACCAGAGATGTATCCAGTCATCCAACATTAAATGCTCTGGTCACCCACCTGCACTACTAAACAGTTACACAGACCCCCCCCCCCCCCAACACACACACACACACACACACACACACACACACACACACACACACACACACACACACACACACACAGGACCCAACCAGCAGTGTACCATGATCAAACAAGAACCCAGCCAACCAAACATTCACACTATTCATAAAAGACAGCAAAACAACTTCACAAAAGTACGGCCATGTTTCTGCCTGTCACACAGACCTTGCTTTGGATCAAACATGACACAGGTGGCACAGCAGTGTGGCAAGTAGCAGAAAGAGCTACAAATAGCTAGCTGCTGCTAGGCATTTACCAAGGTACAGTGCTTTTAGCGTGTGTAGTGCATGTTGAGCCTAAAGTGCGTGAAAGGCATTCAGCTGGGACCAGGTGCTACCTGGGTCTGGCTGGTTAAAACGGTCACCACCACAGTAAGGGGATAAAAGCAGGTGAAAGCTGTGGCTCCTGTGCAATGCATTACCACTGTAATAATGGAGAAGTGCAGAAGTAACGACTTCAGTGACCCTGAGATAAAATAGTATTTGCATACAGAGTAGAAAGTGAGGGTGATTTTCTGGTAGTCATTATACAAACTGAGGTAAAATGGCTGCTCTAACCTCCTCAGTGTTTATTGAATAATATGTTTCCTCTATAGAGCTTTTTTTTGTTTTATATTTATGAAAAACACTTCAACTTCCGACTGATAAACTGTTGCCATTTTGTGCCACAGGTATCATCCACATATCCAACAGAAATGAGTTTACTTTATTGTTTTATTGTCATGTTTTTTTGTAACTATCTGCACAGTAGCTAAGCTTTATGCTTGGATACCAATATATTTTCCATGCATGAGTGCTCACAAACAAGAGGATCTAGGGTGAAATGAAGTAGCAACTGGTATGAAAAGTGATGCCTTACTTCTGGCAGAGTTGACTGAAAAGGATCTTGGGATTGATTGGGCCCTTCCCTTGTTCTTTCATGCTCTGGAGGAAGAGAAACATGGCTGCAGTCAGGGGCTCCGGACTGGGCAGTGTTACCATCAGTGGACTCTGGAAGGCGTGGAGACAAAATGAAAATAAATACATTTGTTTCCAAATTGGATGTGATGGCGGGAGTCGTGGAGGTCAATGCAATAACAAAGCAAGATCTGACTTGTATAAAAAGAGTATAAAAAGATTTCTGAAAAATTCAGAGTTGATAAAATTTATTTACTTATTTGTCAGCCTTCACTAAATGTCAGAAAAAAGTCTTAAATGTCTTCAGTGTTCATAGAGACATTTCAATTTTACATCCTAAAACATGTTGTAGCACTAAATTAGGGAAAATGTCCAAAAAAACAAAACAAATAATGCAGTTTAATTATGATAATATTTACATATTTTCATTTTTTTTTATTTGTAGTGTGTGTTTAAAATATAATTTATTTCATAAATGCAACATAATGACAGATTAGAATGATAATTTCAAAAGCAAAGTAATTGGCATTTGTCCTATTAGGGGTTTGGTTTAGAGATGACAAAGCTTTGAGAAGAAGAGAATAAACTGTACCAGATTGGTCTCGACAGGGGGGCAGATCCTCAGTTTGTACCCCTTCTCTTTCACTTCCTGGATAAGCTCAATGAGCATGTGTGTCTGTGACAAGTTCTGTGGGGACAGGATACAATTATTTTCAGTGTTAAATAACATTTCGTTAACCATTAACCGTGTGTTGAATGGCACTGGGGAAAGGTATTGTTCAGGTATAACATTAGATCAACAGCTGAAAACCATTCATAAAATCAGTGAAGCATAAAACTGGTCATACACACTGATTTTACTATTCATCAAATGAAAAGACCCACAGACAATTTCTTTGACAAGAAAAAACATTAACATCAAAAAAAGCTGTAATCCTCCAAATATATGAAACTCTATCTGCGAATAGTTTGTGGCAATTCGATGTGGTCAATTAAAATACCCTTGTGAAATGTTATCTCCATTTTAGTAGGATTTAAGGAACTTGTGGTGAGTTCATTACTCTGAAAGAGGCTTTCAAATCTATCCACAATCTGTGAGTTTGAAATGTAGAGAAGATCCTTGGTGAGGCGATAGCCTGAAGCAGTCATTGTCCCTTTATGTTAGAGAAGCATCTTTTCCTTCCCTTTCAAGAGATATTTGTTTTGTCACATCCTGGCAATGAAGACAGTTGCTATGGAAAACACACAATGGAGCTGGCATTGTGAACGCAGACACAGCTCATCCAGTGACAATTATGTGTTTTCACCAGAAAGATTGCAATTTTCAAGGAGACAATACAAACAGACAGGGAGAGGGAGGCAAAAGCATGTAAAGCGCGCTCACTCGAATTTCAATCAACGAGGAAGGCCCTGAGGGTGATTAACAAAATGGCGGAAAAAAACAGCTTCATTGTTGAAGAGGCTTGTCAGTTTGCAGTCACCATGACACGACCAGAGAAAGACTGGGGAGACTCTTTAGCTATGTTGTATGGTGAACATGCTCTGCACCATCTGAGTGCCACTCATGCATAGGCAGGTGAAAGTGCCCAAGCCAGCTCTGCATTTACTGCTGCATTGAATATTCTTCAAAATGATCTCAAGGCCTAGCCTGTTTACAATCACAGTCAATGTAAGAACATAGTCTGGTTACTACAGGCCAGAAAAAGAAAAAGCACCACTTGAGGAGTGTTTATGCATTGTAAAGACATACATATTCATATAACAACCATCTTCCAACGGAAATCCCTGTGACTCACAAGGCTATCACAACGTCTCTTGAGATAAAGCAATAACTGGTAAGCAGGTAATCCTCAGTTAGAGATCCACTTAATCAGATTTATAGAGACAGGTAGCTGTAATCATGCCTACTTCTGTTATGTAATAAGGTATTCGTTCTGACTAAAAGGAGCAATACTTTTGCAGCATATTTCATAATGCACAATAAAATAATTAATTTGCATCATGTTGAGCTTTTCTTTCTTTTGTTTTTTTTTAGTATATTTTTTTGGGCTTTTTATGCCTTTATTCGACAGCACAGTAGAGAGACAGGAAATGGCAGAGAGGGGGAATGACATGCAGTAAGGGCCGTCCGATGCGGGACTCGAACCGGGGCCGACTGCAGCGAGGACTGTAGCCTCTACACATGGGGCGCCTGCTTAGACCACTACGCCCCGAGCTTTTCTCTTAAAGGTTTAGTTTCTGCTCTACACTATAATGACACAAACACTTCCAGGAATGTTTACATTTGACCCGATGGAAATACCGACCTGCATGACAGCATTGAAGAAGCAGGTGTTACCAAGGTTACTGATGCCTTTGACAGGAACCAAAGTGCTGTTGATGACTGGACTCTTGCCTCTAGGTGGCTCACTATAATCTGATGGATCTTCCCGCAGCTTGATGATCTTGGGTGATGCTGCTGTAATACACACACAAAAAAACAAGTCTGTGATGTACAATAGTAGAAACTCAAAAACCATGTATATTAGTAAAATGATGCAAGGGATAGTGAACAGTACAAGCCTGGAAGTTACAGAAACATTATGGTGGTTTCAGTGTGTGGACAGTCTGACAAAAGAGTCCACTTCTAAACCCTGATTTGGCTTTTACTTTTAAGTTATTTCTGTACCAAGACTTGGCAGCCAAGCTCAACGCTGCAGCTGAGATGGTGGCTGGCTTGACAACTTGGTTGAGATTGAGGGTGGAAGTCTGCCTTGCAGCTGGAAAAATTTCGGCTTCCTTTAAATTGGGATTGCGCCTAGATACGGAAAAAAATTGGGCTTAGCCTTGAAGCGAGACTGGGCCTGGGAGCAGAGTGCTGGGATGGCAGCTGGAAGGAAAGCTGGGTCATTTGGGAAAGCAGATGACAGCTGTAGAAGTTTCCGCTGGTTAGTGAGGGAGGAGTGGGGGCCGGGGTTGGCTCTCCAGAGCCAGCTGTTCCTCCTGATCACCAATGAAAACTAACCTTAAACAGCAACTAAGACACAGATGGTCAGAATCTAACAGTGTCATACAGATAGTCTGCTGGGGACAGACTCTGAGTAGGTACTGTAGCTGCGCGAGCCAATAGCGTGCCAGCAGCTAACAATAAAGCTAACACCACGATAACTCAATACCAATAATATGTTACTAACGTGTTGGTAGCTAGTGGGGAATCCTGGAAATGTAGATTAGAGTGGAAGAGGTTCAAGCCTTCACGCACACTGTTTGTTTAGTTACAAAGGATGAAGTGTATTCAGCCAAAAGTATTACCTATTGGCAAGTTTAAAGGAAGGTAAAAGCCACAGCTTTGAGTCAAACAACAACCCTCTGTGGCTTCTCTCTCTGTCTCTCTCATGATTCAACAGATAACAGCTACTTTTACTAAACTTAGCGTTTTACCTTAATGATCAGAAGAGACAAAACATTACTGAAGCTGTGAGCAGTGTTTGATGTGCAAGAAACTGCACAAAACTGAGCAGTTTTTTTTGCACAGGGCCCTAAGTAGAGTAATTTAAGACAGAGTGTCTGCTGACACAGACTTCTAATATTCACATTGTCCCACATACTGTAAATTCACAGAGCACACTTACACAAGTACAACACAGTTAGTAAAACAACTATTTATTCTATACACTGTAGAACAAAACAGGGGATACCTATATAATGGCATCTGCTACACTACTACTACAAATTACAACCACAAAAACTGTCAGTGTTAAAAACACCTCTCTGACAAAGTCCCAGCAAGTATGGAACAGTCTAAGTTTCACAAAGGTAACTTTATTTCAAGACTATTGTGTTGGATAGGACATTATATATTAAAGAGCTACTTCGTAAGTGTCTTGCTGCCACTTCCTGTTGCTTTCTATGTCAAATTGGTAGTTGCATTTGGGGAAGAAGAAAAATATGTGCGAGCACAGCACAGCACTATGTTCAGACAGAAACTGAAAAGATGGAGGTGGTGCTAATGGACTCAGAGTCGAGGTAAGGAGATGAATGGAAGACGTGCTGCTCTAGAAGGTGCACATTAAGCCAAAGAGCTGTTCACTCAAGGAGATATTGGAGACGTTTGACGGATCCAGAAAAGTACAGACATTCAGCTTCATTCAGGCTCCATGATGGATGACAAGCTCAGTATAGTGTAGTAACACGTGGTCCATCTGATCTTTATGGCACTAACACATTACTTGTGATTATATGGGCATTTACAAAGATGTCATGGGCACAGACAAAGGTCCACACTGTGTACTTTACCAGCCACAAGAAGTGATTAGTTGTAGCATATTTTGTATGCACACAAGACTTATAGAAAAAAATAAACTCCCCAAGATGATCACTTCTAATCAATTCAGCTAGCACAGCCCTTGTTAGTGCAAACGAAAACAAGGGGTGTTCAATCACATGAGGAAAAAAGGCTGTACAGAGGCCACAGATGATTTTCTCCCTTTCCTGCTTAAATTTCATATTTCATACTATTTGTGCTGTTTTCATGCTCCATGAAACCTAATGCTGCTGAACATAAAAAAACACATGCACATACATGCTGAATGGCAGACACATGGATGAAATAAAATACATCATATTACTATTTTTATTACTATTTGATTGGTATTGCCTGATTGGTAGGAAGGGATTAGATTTTATTAAGAATGCAAAACTGTATATGTATTCTTATGATGATTATTAGGTATAATTATACCTTAAATGACATCATTGTTTACATTGCAAATTGATGTATTTTCAGCAGCAGTCTTAAAAATCTGGGATGTTGGATTATCCTTGTGAACACTGCTACATCATAAAATGCCTAAATGCTTCTTCAATACATTGCAGAAAACTATTAGATTTATTATTCAATTTTCATTTTATTTAAAATATTATTGCTGTACAAATACAATGACTGATAAAAATGCTATGATTCTCTAAAAGTGAATTTTCCACTGTATAGCAAATAAAACGACAAATTCCTGATAACAAGACATTTCAGTGCAAATGCCAAATTCTTGCTGGGACTGATGGCAGTACCTTAAGGCCTAAAAGCTGTAGAGTAATCAACTAAATGCTGGTAAACACAAAAAAAGTTTGGTCCATGAGCACTTCACCCATATAAGCCAGTCAAGAGAGCAGGCTAGCAGCGAGGTCACTGGCCTGAACCCGCTCATGCCCCAGCTACGGAAAATCAATTGCACCGTTAACTGTCATAATCATCATAACAACCTGCACCTTTACTCTCACTGTTCTTCTCCTCAACACACAAATGGCCTTGCCTTAGGACATATTCCATTCATAGAACCACTCCTTGTGCATAACACATTTGTTGAAAAAGCTATTCAACCTACAGCTTTTCCTCTCCAAGGCCAAGGACATTAGCAAGAGTGCCCTGGTCACAGTCGGTGGAATCTGAACCTTGGGCTTTTTACTCGTGGCCTGGCAGCTTGCATTTTATACTCAATCAAATTGCACTCAAATTTGTCAAAGTAAAAGGGCAACTTTTCTGTCAAACAGATTGGAAATTTGAAATTTACTTTGCTTTCTAATGTTTAACACTGATGAGAAATGAAGAGAACATCTTTCTGTAGTTTTGGGACCGAGAAGGGCGAGGTTCAGCTTGCTGGGACAACATGCTGTTGTGGCGCTCCACCCAGTGATGCTAAATGCATCTGGCCCTCTGTGCAGGCAACATCTGGAGGTCTATTTCCATCTTCAATATGCAGCCATAAGGGAGCTCCCATATGTCAACACACGAAATGCATGGAAAACAAGTGGAGATGGGGAATGATTGCAGCCCCGATCAGGAAAAACAAACTGTGGATTACTGGATTTGGTGTGAGACTGGGAAGGTGTGAAAAGATGTTTGCGCAAGTGTGAACAACTGAGCCAAAGAGAAAGTAATGGAGAGACAGAAAAAGTGTGTAAATGACTGTGTCTACGTCTTGTGGTGTTTGTGAGCAGAGGCCCAAAATCAACAGACTTAATGTTACTTGACTCTAAGAGCTACGACTGACACTAGAGCTAAGAGGGAGCAGAGGAATGAGGAAACTAACTGGGCGGAATGGGGATGCCGACGGACACACTCTGCATCTGGGACCGTCACCCAAGGTAAACAATGTTCAGGGAGCCATCTGGTTGAGACTTGGGAGAGGGGGGCAGAGGAGGGCAATAGGGGGAGCAGTGGGTGGAGGGAAGGCTTGCAACGAGCACAAGCATATGGAAAAGCAGATTTTTCCTCTCCCTGCAGCAGTCAGCGAAGGCAAATGTCAGCATGCACTGCGTCCACGCTTGACTGTGCTGCACTCGGCACCACCACCTGGCCCTCCTTGCTCAGCCACCGAGTATGGGCAGCAGTGACACTGCGGAGCCTTTCCCCAGGGCAGAGGAAAGCATCACGGTGCTGAGGCTCATCCACATGCATGCATGTACACCAACACCTCCTGCAATGCCTGCTCTTTTTCACACAAGAGACACACAAAGAAACATGGGACTTGTTTACTTTTTACAGAGAACAGTACTTGAGTGGTTCAAAAAAGAAAAAACAAGCAAGCTTAGCTGAAATTTCTCATAAAATAAATTGTTCTGTCTTGCGTGCGTTTGCATTATTTTTGAGTCTGTCAAGCTGAACACCAGACTTTATGTAAAAACTTCAAGCTAATGAAACAATGCCATAAACAAAGTGTATTCTTTTCAAGTTTGTTGTACACCAATACTTGCTGCTCTCTTAATTTTACAAGTGAACCAGATCTAACACAAGTATTTTGTAGTCCAATAGCTGCTTATTGTAAAAGCGCATCGATATAATCGAGTCAAAAACAAGATTCTGTAAAATACATCTTAAAGCCCTCTTAATGTGGTTCACAGTTGGGCTGAGAAACCATCAAATCGTATGGCCAGTGGGCTTCATGCACCCATTTTCACTCATAGTGCAGCACTGTGGAGGGTCAAGGCCAGATCCCTTCATGCAGAGCATGCAGTCAAGAGGAAGGCCAGGCAACACCAAATGTCTTATTAATTCGCTAATTTGTTGTGACTGCAGGGCATGAAAAGCCTGTTTCCTTGCCATCTGAGGCCAAGAGAATCCAGTGCCATGTTACTTACACACACACACACACACACACACACACACACACACACACACACACACACAGCTTTTCCTAACCCACTATCTGGCCTACTTTCATGTGCGATGGTGGGAATAAAGACAAAATCACCCTTGATTACATCCATGAAAGTACCACCAGGGGACAAGCATCTTACTGGCTACTGACTCAGCCAAGCTAAACTGATGGAATACTAAAGACTGTGGTTTCCAAAAATCAACAACCAGAGGCAGGACACCAGGTGAATAAAAGTGCAATGATGATACAACACTATACTCTCTACATCAGCCTTTCACCAAGGTTTCTCAGAGGAGAAGTCAGTAGAGACATGGAAAAACTGAGCCCAGTACAAACTGGACTCACAAGTGTCCAACTGTAGAGTCAAAACAGGATGTAAACATCCCTGATATAAGCTTGTAATAACCTTCCCACCATGACAGCACCCCATTCAGGACACGGGGCTAAAAGAAGAAAACAAGATTCACATTTGGTTTAAAATCTGAAACTGTGATGCACAGGTATACAGCACACCACCAAGACATTTAGTCCGATTACGACCAACACTACAGTAACATTACACCATGTTAAAGAGGAGTGGTGACCTACTAAACTGTTCCAACAGTTTTGTGGGTCAGAGAAAACTGTGAACCTTATTTATTTTAAAGATGAATCAACAACTAAAGACAGACACAGATGAAGAGTAGGGGTTAATGCACTCTTGCCTAATTTGTGCAACTTGATTGTGCATTTCATTGTTGTCAGTAGTGGTTTGTAACTGTCTATAAAAGGTATGTTGTTGTGTTTGCGTTGTGGGAATGAGGGAAAAGAACAATCCTACAAGTTTGAGAGGAAGCTGAAAAACAACAGATGTGCTCCATCCTGTGACTGACAACTCACTCTGATGATTTCAAGTGTGGGTTATTTTCAACAGTACTTTGCAGAGCCATACGAGAACGTGATTTGATAGAGTTGAGAAAAGTAGACATGAAAATGTCACATAAAATTATCATTATTAATCTATGGTAAAACCATCTTTAAATGGGTCTGATCTAAATTATTTTCCCGATTTGAAAATTCCCTCATTCCTTTCTAAAAACATTTCCGAAAAAATGCATAAATACTTAGAGTTTGCATATTTTTAACTTTATTCCTTTATGCTTTAATATATGTATTCCCAGATTTATCTGAAAGAAGTGGAAGGTCATATGTTTAATAGATACTGTCAATGTTAGAAATCAAATCTGTGGAATAAAAATTTTTATAAACTATGTCTCCATATACTTAAGGCTGGTAATTGTAAAATATAGCTATAGTTTTTGCTTATTTAAGTTATAAATGTTTCCAAAAAATGTTTTCCCCAAAAGATACATAATATACATACATATTATAATATTACAACAACACAACGATACAGTAATGTAGTGATTGATAACAATAAGTAACATAAAACAAGAAAGAGTTGACAGAGTCCAATGAGAAACAAGCTCTGATGTCTATTCAGAACCAACATTTTAATTTGCTCCACAAAGACTCCCCAGCTGTGTTACAAGCTGGAGTCTAGCTCCCTGAGGTCAATTAGCTTTTTACTGGGACTCTGGTACTTGAGCTGAAGGCCTTGATGATGAGAGAGCACAGTTAATCGACTTTCTTTCTTCCCTGAGCTGTTGTTGTACAAAATTATTATGGATTCTGAAAAAATATCCTTGCTGGGGCTCTTTTGTGCTTGGGGTGTATAGGAAAAACAGCAGCTTTTTCTGAAAACCTGGCCTTCACACTGAAATGCAATTTCACAAGCTCCTCAACAGATGACAACCGTCTATTTTGCTGCAACAGTGGCTGCCCGCTTCTATACCCATGTGGCCGACCGGTGTGGAACAATTGGGTGGCAAGAAAGGTGACAGGTAATTTAAAGAGGCAAATGGGAAAGCTGTAGTAAGCGACTGTCCGGCTCATCAGATTACTGGACCACTGGTTGGCACCATGTAAACTAAAGGGCAGCTCCACCAACATATAAACATACAGAACAGACCACACACACATTGCTCATTCATGGTCTTTGCTTAACTGGCTCAAAGATGCATGAATTTCTTGATGAATGCTGCGTATTGTGATTAAAAAAACAGCATCAACAAAGTGGAATCTACAGGAATAGTAATGCTGAAAATGTACATGTGTCAACCAACTTCAAGTAATCTTTCAATACCTCTCTTTCTTAGAGGTCTGACACAACAAACTATACAGGCCTTCTCAAAACAAATTTTACTAAAAGATGACACAAATTCCTCAGGTATGTAATGTACTTGGAGAAACTCCAGGAAGAGCTTGTGCTCTGTGTTGCAAAGAAAACATTGTCAAGAGAATTCAGCCTTCAGCTTCAGTTTATTAGTGAAACTTTAAATCATCTATAATGGCCAGAAAACGTATAAGACAAGCTGAAAGAAAAAAGGGTATTTGCTTGATTTGAACATTCTTTTCAACACACTGTGTATGTGTATCTGTGTATCTGTGAATGTGTGTGTCCACTGAGAGTTAGTGCGCTCCAGCTGTTAGGATCTAGTCGCTCTGACTTGTTGAGGATCCTGGCTCTCACTAGTGTAGCGCACAGGCCCAGAGGTGGTGAGACATACAGCAGCTCAGCAGAGGAAGCAAGGGACAGAAACAGATAGTGATGGAAAGACAAAGAACGACAAAACAGAGGCTGAACCCCACGCAGCTGCTCTTGTTCTTCAGGGAACCCAGCCGGGAAGCATCACTCAAGCGCCTAATTCCTCTAATGTGTTCAGTCATGCGACATGCAGGGTGAGGGTGAGGGTGGGGGGATTGCTGCAGCATATATCCCACAACTCTACAGTCGTGGCTGAGAGACTAAGGGTGGACCAGCCTGACTGGGCCTGGGTGGCTGGCCTCTGGCCACTCAGCACCGGGCAGGGGGCTAAGCTGAGGCAGCCAGTGAGACTAAAAGTGATGATGCCCACCACCCTGATCAGCTACAGCCTGTTAAAAGGCCTCTCAGTGTGCCAGCACAAACTAGGAGAGGTACAGGGAGGGAGCAACAGAAGGTGTATGTGTGTGTAAGTACAGAGAAGGAGGGGGGTTGTAATAAATATATGGTTGACTGATTGTGGGAAGGAGGGCTCAGGTGGTCTGAGTAAGGTCAAAGGAAGTGAAGACTGAAAGTAGGCAGTCAGGCGGTCAAACGTCAGTATGAACTGATCAGTATGAAATTTAAATTCTTCACAATTTTACTGGTAAGTAAAAAGCATGATGATTTTCTTACTTTGTAGTAACAGTTCCTCAAATTTTATGACCCTAATAAGGCATGAAAAAGGGGCTCTCAAAACCCTGGTAAATCAAAGCAAAAGTAGTTCCATCCATAAGAAATCATGCTTGTAACACTGAATGGTCACACCCATCACACTGCAGTACGACTTAATACTGCATATAAGCTGCCCCTACATTGAGTACCATAGGTTAAATCCAGGGATTCAGCCAACCACTGCCACCAGGGGGAGCAGGTGGTCTGCAGTCGAGTCCTGATATGTAGGTGAATCACTGACAATGATACATTTGAACTTGAGTGACCAGGGAAGTCAGTCCATCAGTTTTACAGATCACTTCGTTCAACAGTCTCTGATCTTGCAACAAGACAGCCAGTAATAATCTTGTATGCAGTCATGGTATTTCTGGTGAAAAAGTAGTCCACCCACTTCACTTTCTGATCACATTATACTCTGGGTATGTGTTCAAATACAAAAGCACATTAAGCCTTGTCTGAGATTCACCAGTGCAGATTATTAAACAGAATTTTGAAGCATTAATATCTGATTATCATTAAGAGTTGTGTGTGTTCAAGGTAACCCATTTTCTACTTCAAATGAAGACAGTGTTGCTAAATTAAATGAAGGTTTGTACAAAACTCCAACTGAACTGACTTCTGCCTTGCTGAAATTGCAGTGAGGATCTACATGTCTAATAAAAGCTTAATTCAACATCAGTAGCTGGCCAGACCTTCAGAATGTTACCAAACACCTTACCTGATGTTGCCTTGACAGAGTGCTTTTGTAAAAAGTCCAGGGTCTGAGCCAAAGCCTTCTTGTTGCAGTGAGTGGAGAGCTCCTCATTACATTCAAAACACCTGTTACAATAAGAGGGGGTCATAGACAGACACAAAAAGGCTTTAAGTTACTGTGGGATTTAACAGCCCTTAAGAAACTACTGTTGAAATTAACCATCATTTGACAACAGAATTACTTGGCTTGAGTGGAAAACCATCACCTTCAAATACCATAATGGAGTGAAAAATCATTTAATACCAGGTTATTGGTAAAAATCTATTATTTATGCTCCTAAACTGAAGCAAAAATAATACACAGGTTGAAAGACTGAAACTGCCCTGAAAAATGTGGAGGCAAGACCAAGAACACTTCAGGACAACAGACACCTACAGTGTATGATGTATGTAAAAATACTGGTGCCTATTGTGTTCATTATTTAGGCTATTTGTTAATTTATTTTGTTTAGTTCTCATTAAGTTGACCACAGTAGCCAGGACGCTTCAAAACATGCAACTTTTACTTTGAGGGAGAGATGTCTCTGTTTCCAGCTCTCTAATTTTAATTGTAATAGATGGATAATGAAACAAGCTTTGACGCACTGAATTGCATGTCGTCATTCAATGGGACAATAAAACAGGCAAAGCCTTAAAAGCGTTTAGGCAGCCTCGGCTATCGTTGAACGAGCTCACAGGCGTCAACACACATTTGCATTAGTACAAGTAGGACAATGACATTAGGCAATACCTCCTGAACTGGCATTTTTCATTAAACAACACGAACAACCTGCATATGAATGATAATTTATGCACAGACCATGTAGTCTTGGCTTTTTCATTAGAGTTCACAATGAATGTAGGTTTTCCTCACCAGGCCTTCCATGTGCTCAAGCTAATGGTGATGCAGTGAGACTCTGGATGGAAAGTGTGGTAGTGCTTGACAGCATGCTGGATCCCCAACTGGTTACAGCCCTGTAAGATAGTTCATTTAAAAATCTTTGTTAACCAGCACAGAGCAAATTCAGACCCACAGCACACATGTCCATGTTTAAAGACTATGGCTCATTCCCACCTCAATAAAGCCAAATTTGCAGGTGGTAGAACTAGAGCTAGAAGTAAGAAAGTCCTTTGACAATATACAATAGACTCACTGTAAATGTATCTGTTGAATTGTTTTACAAACATAACTTTCAAATGAGAACCATTTCTGAATGTCACGTTATTTTAATAATTATCATCTAAATTTTAGACTTTTAGACCATTACATTTTAACAGACCAGTTCCAGCATTGTTTCACTGTATTATTAAGCATTATCAATAATTAGACAGAATGAAATAAAATAATTATTTTCATTTTTATTCAAAATAATTTTTTTTGATTTTCCAACGATATTCCCCTCTCTCCGTGTTCTTTGTCTTTGTTTCTCTCTCTCACACACACACACACACACACACACACACATACAAACAGACACATACACACAGACATAAACACAACCAGCAGCGTCAAACAACATGTAAAAGTTGTATCTCTGTGTTGTTAGAAACAAAATGTACATCAAGATTTCTCTTTCATCATTTCAATGTAGAAAGTGTAGCTTTAATTATTCTGATGAAAGAAACAGAAGAACAAAATGCAAGCTTTCCTTTCTGTGATTCCTGGTGTAATAATTCATACTGTAACATGTTACAGTCACACTGAATATACTGGTGACTGACATAGAACTGAACGATATATGCTTCCTTTCATATATGCATAAAACTTAATTAATGACCAATTAAACACACATAGAATTAAAAATAGAATTACAATGACCATGACTTTGACAATGCTGTAAGTCAAGGTTATAATTGATAATGTCCCTCTGTGTATACTGGGTACAGGCAGGTATGATAAAAAAAAGTAAGAAATAAAGTTAAGTTAAAAAAAATATATACATATATATATATATATTTTGTGTGTGTGTGTGTGTGTGTGTGTGTGTATATATATATATATATATATATATATATAGTATATGTACATGTATGTATGTATATATAACTCAGTACTAGTTTGTGCTATGTGTTGTGTTTTAATGTTAGAAAAACAAATCTCACCTGGAAACCACACTTTAAACACACCAGGATGTCATGTGATGCTGCTGGCTCGCCATCGATCATGGTCCTCTCCTTTAGACACTCTGAGCACACCAACCACACGCTGGAAAGCACTGACTTCTTCACTGAGCTCAGGTCCACTGCCTTACTCACATGCTGGCAAGTCAACCCTGATTAAAAAAACAAAATATACTATAACGATTAACATACTATAATGATAGATTTATCATAATCCAATCACTTTTAGGGACCAGTTGATTTTCCCTTTTTAAAAAAAGGGAGACAATGTGTGCTGCACCTGCAGAAAATCATACAAAGTGGGACATCCCTCTAAAACACAAGCATATATTCTATTAATCGCAAGATAAATCCCCTTTAATGGATATTCCACTAGTGTAATGGGGCTTGGTTAACATACACTTCATTGTGTTGATTTAGTAGGACAAATTTATAACACCCCATAAATCGACAAATCAGACAAAAATGACAAAAGGCAGTGGACAAATATACTTGGTACATTGCTTGAGGTGTACATTTTACAAAACTTCTACAACTTCTACACTGCTTTTTGAGCATAAGTATACACTTACTCCTATTTACGATCCATTAGCACAGTGGATACGAACCTATACCAAATGAAAACTCACAGCCCTAACTTTTAATAGTCTGGGGCCTCAGTGACTTACCACTGACTTCATCTGATGACTCTTCATCTCGAGGTTTCCTCGGTTTATTAGTCCGCTTAGTCATGTCTGCGGCTTTCAAATAGAAAGGGTCCTTTAGCCGCATCTGGAGCTCTGGAGGTGAACATGGAAGACAACATAAATTTACTAAACTAACCTAACACTAAACTACCTCACCATAACTATGGCTTAACAATGATTCCTGAACTTAGCAAAACTAGCACTCATCTCTAACTTCCATTATTATTTTACTTAGTGCAGCATGCAATACCTCGAAAGTAGCTACAGCGCAGTCTGCAAGTATTTGCACAGTTGCACATTTCTGTTGTGTTGCCTTTTAACTTCAGCACAAACCTTCACAGACACCTCCACATGTGGACTGAGGTCAGGTGATTGACTTGGATTGGCTGCGTTGTCCTAAAATTGGGGTGTCATGTTTGAAACTATTTCTAAACTTTTCACCCAACATAGATGGGAGGACCTTCAAGCACTATTAAAGCTGACAAGTCACTTATCCAAACCTATTATATATATATATAAATAAATAAGCATTTATAAATCATTGTATAGGAGCACTGAGTCAAAACAATAGAAAATTGTAAATACTAACGGAATGCATAGTCTGCCACTGAGAATAAATATATCCTCTCAGATGAAAGGTGATTAGGGCTAACTATCTGGTAATGGGCAAGAACACGGTTAAGAGGCCTCAATTAGCCCCGACTGTCCAGCTTAGGTGAATATGAAAGGCTTGTAAATCGTTTCTCAAACAAATTTAAACAGCGAATTAATTATTTTTTCATGTTTAGAGTTAACGAAAAAGCAGAACGAACTCACCTCTTTATTTCAGCTCCTATGTTCACTGTGTTAGCTAACCTGAAGCCAACAGTGAGATGTCAACTCTTCCTGGCTAGCAAACAGGCTAGCTACATTAGCTTGTCAGAATAAATAAAACATTAACAGGTGTGTATATCCAACAATACACGGCGATATTAAGACATTTCAAAGTAATGTAGCGACAACAACAGATCAATGTCTTAATAGCTCTTCGTTTTTGCGCCTGACTTTCTTAAATGTTGTCAAGCTTTCGTTAGCAACAACTAGCAACACTAGTCAACATGTGACGCACTACGGAGGCTCAGTTTGTCCCAATGTTGCATTCATGGACAATGGTGGCAAAATATTACGCTTTTGTATTCAAAAGCTCTTCTGGTGTTTTAAAACTTTTGCAAACATAGGGTGATACGTTTGTTGTTATATTTCATTTACAGAGACTAAAAACTGGAACTCTAAGATAAATATATTGTGCTGAAGAATTATATCGTGTGTTGTTGTCTCAAATCTGTTAATTTTTTTTTATGAAACAAGTAGTATCATCACAATTTTCAAATTCAGTCCTTTGGTGTCATAAGACTAAGCATTCATTTAGATGGTATAGTTTATAACCTTTATTTTGAACATAAACAGATATGACTCAGTTCAAGATCATGAGTGATATTATGAACACATCTTAGGGTAATTTGTTTATTTAGTTGTCAGAGAAGCTGAGGTAGTTATCTGCTGCCTCTGAGAGCGGCACGGGGCATCGATGAATTACGAGTAAATCTATGCTCAGATATGGACAAGTATTTGGTTATCACTTTTCCGTTTTTCCCACGACCACGAATGCATCAGATATTATGTCGTTGATAATACCCCATTGCATTAGTTTGAGTTACCTCGGGTACATGGCGCTTATTTATGTTGATAATGTTTTGACCTTTGAAATATTTGGGAAATGACTTGCGTTCGAGTTTGACATGATGGAATCAAGGGAAAGAGTATTTTGTCCTTTAGGTGATCCGTAGTACTGCGCACGCGCAGGTCATTATAGAAAGGGTGAGCTTGAGCAGTGTTATCGCTAACGGTTGTCACACGCAGTATTCCTGTCAAATTACGGGTTTGTGTTTAAAAGGTGTGAATATAGAGTGTAACTAATCACACATGGCTCTCAGAAGGTGTTGGAGGTTTGCAGGGGTGGTCCCGCGGCTGTTATGGAACAGCACCGCCCTGCCAGGGGCTACTGTCCCGGGGGCACGAAGCTCTGTGTCCAGCCTTGTCAACTCTCATCCTGGCTGCAAAAGTGAGTTTTACATTTAGCGCTGTTTTCATTTGTTATCTTATCTACCGCCCATTTAAATGTCAGCTCTTCAGTCTGTGACTTACCATCATGTTTGTTTTGCTCTCAGCCGGAGAGTTGCTGTTATGTAGCAGGTTCAGTTCTGCGCCACCGAGCACAGATGTGACTTACGAGCAGCTGAAACAGCTCCTGGCCGGCCGGAAAGCTGTAGTTATAGATGTCAGAGAACCCTGGGAGCTCAGAGAGTACGGCTTCATCCCCGGGTCCATTAACGTTCCCCGTGAGTGTTGGTCTACCTGAAGTACACAGAAAATTGTTGTAAAGTTGTTGTAGTTTATAGTCTAATAGTCTGTGTTATCTGTAGGCCATGAACAAATATAGGAAAGTCCTGAATCTTAAAGTCTGTCTCATAAAGCATACATTGACCTCTAGAGGTCTGTCAGAGGCCTCTGCTTTTATTGTGGTAAGATTACTTAAAAGCTAAATTCCCCAAATTTTACATTCAGTGCAACATTAAAATAAGCTTGAATTCAGCATGGATGACACCTGCAGACAACCTGGTAAATGGTATGAGAGAGAATAAGCTGTTACAGTGATTTGAGATTATTACTACAACAATTAGAAACACCAAACCCACCAATGTTTTGTTTTACCTAATAGCACATATTCACCACTTGACCTCTCTGTGCTTGTTTGTCTCTGCAGTGGGTCAGGTGAACACTGCCCTCCAGCTGGGTGCGGAAGAGTTCAAAGAAAAGTATGGTGGTGAAATGCCCGAGCAGACGGAAAACATCGTGTTCACCTGTCTGGCAGGGGTCCGAAGCAAAAACGCACTTGACACAGCTGCATCACTCGGATACAAAGAGTGAGACATATTTCCTTGGCATATGTCTGTCAAAATCATTTATTCTCGCTTCACCATTTAAGTCAACGAATGATTGAATTATTGCAGTCATGTACAGCAAATGTTGAAGAAGATATTATTGTTGTTTCTTCTTAAAGTTATAGCTTTTTTATTCTGGATAAAGGTCTGAGTAGCAGGACAGTTTTATGGCTTTGGTTGACTTTTATATCCCATCACGAGACAACATTAAGTTTCACCTGCTTGAAGTTATTGCCCTGTTGTTGCATGATGCCAACCATCATGCAGTGCTCTTTGAAAAGATGGCACATACCACATCTCCATTATATGATTGAAAATTTGAGAAAAAGATACTGAGTTTAACAATGAAATTATGAAATGCAGTGTGCAGTGTGATTGCTAGACACAACCCTGTTTATGCAACAGTTCATCCTGCTTTCTTCCAATTTTTTGTTCCCCATTTCAGTGTTCAGCATTACCCGGGTGGATGGCAAGACTGGGTGAAGAATGAGCAACATAAGTGACCCAGGGATGAAAGAAGAGATGACACATTATTTAAAGCTCTTTCTTTAATTTACCTGAGATCAAACTGGAAAGTGACAGCGCATAATGAGGAGTCTTGTAAAGGGTTTCTAAAAGGTTCAAACACTTTGATTTAAGTTGTTTTCCTCATCAGTGAATCCCAAAGATTGAAACCAGAGGGCTCAACACACATCAGCACACACAATCACGTCTGTTGCTTTTCAGAACTATTATAAAATGACTTGAAGTTTCTTGTAAATTTGTTTCAGCGCAGAACTACTTACAAACCCTTTACAACTTTGAAACAAACATATATAACCAGTGACTGTTGTAAACATTACCACGGTTATGAGAAGACAGACTAACTATGCAAATGACTACTTAACAGTGTATGATTGTGAGTAAATGAGTCTTGCATTTGCATATTATGAACAGTTTTCAAGTTGATGTATTGTAAATATTAAACAGCCGGTTTGCTCATAGATGCAACAGTCGGTGCTTGTTGCCAACATGATTCAATAAATAAAAATTATAGTTTTGATTAACATATTTACACAGTAACATTTTTTTTACAACTTAGGGACAAACACATTCACTTGGATCATTTGTGATATAAGTAAACATGCAGAGCCATGCTGAGGTGACAGTTACTGGGACAAAGATGATCTACGGTATTGAAGGACCATGTCTAATATCCACAGTTCCTCAGTATGAATTTGCCACCAACCCTCCATGGAACGTTAACAGGTCCCTCTGTCATTCATGATAATGAATGTGTTTGTTTTCAGCTGAGCAGAATGCCTCTGTGTTGACCACGGCCACGGACCTTGTTCCCTATAAACTTCCCCTTTTATAGCTCCAGCTGAAAGTCCAAACCGAATGCACGAATAATATTCTCATCATCAATTTCGTCTAGATTCATAAATGATCCGAGTTCCTCACAAGGCTTAGCAGGAGCTTGTTGGCACTGAGTCATTGTCACTGAAAAGGAAACTGACCTCTGCGAGACTTTCATGATGCACGAGTAAAGAATCTATCTCAGAAGTGTTAATACTATCCCTGCTTGTATTAAACAGTATTGTCCAAGCAGACAAGGAAACCCCCATGACTATTCGTATTCATATTTAAATATTAAACCAGATCTTTGAGTGTAACGCATCACCCTGAGTACACCCTATCATTACATTAGGAAAACATAAAATGCAATAAATGACTGAAAGACATCAGGTCTATACCCCCTGTATTGTTTGTGTCATTTTTAGCTTAACCCTCCACCTAAACAACCTGGACCCTCTTTAAAAAGTACATTTTACATCATCTTATCAACTTATACTTCATGGCTTTTCCACATTTTATGAGAATAACTGAATAAACATGATTTTGATCTGATAATTTGTTTCACAAGTCAGAAGCTACAAAAATGACAGTAAGTGAGACCTCTCTCCGGTCTAACTGACTTAAAACATGAGTAACATCATTACAGATAGATTGATAGATAGATAGATGGATAAATAGATACTTTATTTATCCCCTAGGGGAAATTCATGTGTCCATTAGCTCATTGTTAATAATAATAATAACAGTTAATAATAAATAAACATTAATAATTAAATTAGTCCACTTCCTTTGGCTGAGGTGCTGTATAGCCTGATAGTGGGAACAAAGAATCACCTGAACCTCTCTGTTCTGCAGCGCAGTGAGATGAGACATTTGCTTCTGTAGCTGCTTCATGCCAGAATGTTGTGGAGAAAATGGTTGGTATTGTCCAAGATGGCCTCCATCTTACATTGCATGCATCTCTCCACAACAGTCTTGAGTGAGTCCAAACTCCTGCCAAGCACAGACCCAGCCTTTTTGACCAGCTTGTCCAGTCTCCTTGTGTTCATGTCTGACATGCTGCTGCCCCAGCAGACTGCAGCATAAAAAAGTACACTAGCCCCCACTGACTGATAAAACGTGCAGCATTTCACTGCGGACGTCAAAGGATCACATACTGTATATTATATAATATTATATACCATATACAACATATCAAGCATTTCCTTATTTGGTGTAATAATACTTAATATGTTTATTAAAGAAAAGTAATATGAAATGTAGAAGGTAGGGTTGTGCTGGAATTTGAGGCGTGACATAATAAACGCTGTAATCTACCACATGAAAATACCACAGTGATGAGTGATGTGATTTGGTTGTGACATGAAAAGAATTAGCAGAGATAAAAATTCCGCCTCTTCCCAAAAGTCCCATGCAGCTGCGAGATCTGAGGTCAGTGGAAAAGAATAGATGATCACTCAATCCATCATGACGCAAGAACAATAAAATGTTGTGTGAAACTCATCTGGCTTTAGAACATGTTATGATCTATATTTTGGTTATTCTGTGATTTTCTCTGTGTGTGTCAGGTGTTCGTTTTTCTATGAGGGTTGATGTTGCCGGCAGTTAATGTTTACATTAAACTTTAAGGACTGCAGTGTTTACTGACCCTTGACAAAGCGACCCTGTAGGTGTCAATGAAGAGGCCTGACCACTGTTTTCTCCCCTCATATCACTGTGTCATGTCAAGCGTAAACTCCAGACTGCAGCCCCCCACCCCACCCCCCTCCTTTTTTTTTTCCTGCCTCCCTATTTTGCCTCTGAAGCAGTTAATTCCATTTTCTTTTTTCTGCGTATTTTAATATGTTGGAAACAGACCAGACTAATAAGTACTAATTTATGTCAAATCTTGCCAGGGCTCTTTGTTCCTCTGCAGCCGCAGCCTCATCAGGTCACCCTCCAGCTTCTGCTCAGCGTTCAATTAAAGTCCCACGTCCCATCAGAGCAGATCACATCAGTGCTGCACCTACTGGCTGCTGTGACTGACCGGACCCTGCATGTCTGCTTACATGCCTGCCTGGCTGTGTGCTGCCCAGTGCTGTGGTGGATACTGAGGTGGTGGATGCACCATAATCCCAGCAAAACCCATTACTGGTTCTGATAGAAGAGAGAGTGATACATGATCACAGTCTGTATATTGCAGAGAGACTAATAGGTGAACCCTCCACTGATGCCATCAGCCACAGCCCAGATCTGCCCCTCACAGGCTGCTGACAGATATCTGAGCAGCAGGTCAAGCCTGCGTTAATACAGAGGTTCGAGATTCCACAGGTGCTGGCTCATGAGCTGGGCTGTCTTGGGCAGAGATGGGGCATGACAGGGAATAGGAGGTATAAAAGATCCGACTGCGTGGACGATCAGAGAGTTGGAGCAGCACTGAAGTGCAGTAGACCACACACAGGCCCTGCCTACCGTATTTCTTTCATTCCCCTTCAGAGAATCAGAGGAAACACAGTCGCTGCCGCCACCATGAGCCGCAGCCCGGAGAGGATCTCGTCCTATCGCCGTCACTTTGAGGACAGCAGCGTGTCCCATCAGGTCAGGGTTTCCAGCCCATCCCCCAACAGGAGAGAGGCCCGTCGTGCCTCCGTGGGCTACTCCTGCAGAGCTGGGGCTGGCAGCATGCGTGTGGAGTCAGTGGGAAGAAGGACCGTCTCGGCTGCACGCAGGACTCGCATGGCTGGGGCAGGGTAAGCCAGATCAGAATGTCCATACATGTGAACTAATGTAGGGTTTATGAGTAAGAAGGCCACACAGTTATATTACTTCCTCAGGTGAGCTCATAGGTCAAAGTGCCACTTCTTCAAGCATTCTTTCAAACCTTGTGTCTCTGGGGTTAGTTTGTATTGGTGTGTGTTTTCAGTGTGAGTGCAGGAGCCATGGTGTGTGTTGGGCCTGGTGGAGAGCCTGCCATAGACCTGGATGTGGCTGCAGCTGAGAACCAGGAATTCCTCAGCACCCGCAACAGTGAAAGACAGGAGATGATTGTCCTCAATGACCGACTGGCTGTCTACATCGATAAAGTAAAAGCATTCGGACTAACTACTCCATCAGTGCAGATAGATATTTCTGTCAAGACTGGCTAAGAATGGGGGTGTATTATTCTCACCTCTGCGAGCACATGGACAAGAAAAATCCTATAGTTTCTGGTTCAGGCGCACTTGAAATATCACAGCTGGGGTTTTCCTGTGCTTACAGGTTCGAACGCTTGAGCAGCAGAACAAGCTCCTGGAAGCAGAGATCGAGGCCTACCAGAACCGCTTTGAGAAGCCGTCAGGTCTGCGCCTCCTGTATGAGGAACAGCTGAGGGAGCTGAAAAAGATCGCTGACCAGATGAGAGTTCAGCGGGTGAGACAGAATTATCCAAGCTGCACACTGCTTCTGTTTCTTTTCCTTTTTTTTTTTTTTTTTTTTTACATGTGAGGCGAGAGGCAATGGAGCAGAAAGCCTGAATTCTTTGTTTCTGGCGATGTTTACACCTCACTAATCTGCAGAAGATCCATCCAAGCAATGATACAAGACGTCAACTTGGTGTTTTCAAGGTTTTTTACCTGGTAACAGGCTTATTTCTGGCAGGCAAATGGAGAGGTGCCTCAGCGTGTTAGGGTGTCATGGAGTACAGCTGTCTTCAGCTATGCTTTATGCACAGATGAGATGGCTTGGTTATGCATTTGCAGATACACACACACACACGCGCGCACGCACACACACACACACACGCACATACACACATGCACACACAGACACACACGCACACACACACACACACACACACACACACACACACACACACACACACACACACACACACACTCAGGTTTGAAGTTAAAATACGAAATGCAAAAGAGGCTGATCTGCATTTTGCACACGCCCCTGCACACACCTTCAAATCTAATAGACGAGCATATTACTTATGGCTTCTTGGTTTTCAGGACATTTCCTTGGCGGCTAAGGAGTCCACAGCTGCTCAACTAGAGGCGATCAAAATCAAATATGAGGAAGCACTGGAGCTGAGGAAGAAAGCTGAGTTAGACATCGAAGCCTTCCGTCCAGTAGGTTCCATTTAATCAGGAAATATCCCCCTCCTCATCATATTCATTTGTAGTCATGAACCTGCATGGTAATGATGTGTGTGTGTGCTTCAGGATGTTGACAAAGCCACCTCCTCACGCATTGCCCTGGAGAAGAAGCTGGAGCAACTGGAAGTTGAAATTGAATTCCTGAAACGGGTCCATCAACAGGTGGTTAACATCTTCATGCAAGAGTCACATATTTGGTTTGCCTTTCATTTTGATACCCATTAAAGATTTCTCTTTTGCTCCAGGAAATCGATGAGCTCATGAAACAGATCTATGCAGCTCACGCCGCCGCTCAGAGTGCGTTCTCCCTGCCTGACCTCGCAGCTGCGATGAAACAAATCCAAACCCAGTATGACGACATCGCAGCCAAAAATCTCCAGGTAGAAATACACACATCAGCTCTGCAGTGTGCAGTGAAATCCTCTGTATTATAAATGATTCTAATAATTATTGTAAATTAATTCATGTGAATTTTTCCAACATTTCTAGGAGATGGATTCATGGTATAAAAACAAGTTTGAAGATCTAACCAAGAAGACGTCAAGGCATGTGGATAAGGTTCGAAGCATTAGAGAAGAAATAGCAGGTGCCAAAAAGGAGGTAAGTGTCATGGGTGAAAATTAATCAATCAAGGTTGATTGAGAATCAATATTTAATGGCTGTAATAAATAAAATCATACTAAAATGATCTCCAGATCCAAAGCAAAGAACGCGACTTGGATTCCCTTAGAACCAGGAACGAAGCTCTTGAGGCCCAGATCCGAGAGATGCAAGCAAAGTACAGGAAGGAACTGGAGGCCCTGCAGGTAAATGTAGACTCATGTAGTCGCAGTGTGCGCACCTGGTCACACCAGAGTCAGTTGTGAACACACACTCTCGCTTTCATGCGTGCAGACACAAAGGCGCTACAATGCTTCACCCTTGAGGTAAAATCATGGCTTTCTTAAACAGGCTCGGATTGAGGCTCTGCAACTCGAGCTGAAATCCACTAAGGAGAAAATTGCGCTGCACCTGCGCGAGTACCAGGACCTCCTGAATGTCAAGATGGCTCTGGAGATTGAGATCACAACTTACAGGTAAAGGAAATGCAACCTTAAAGTTGACTTAGTGCCATGTAGTTGAGTTCATGTGAGAATGATTTTGTCATTGTTTGTGCTTTCTTTGCAGAAAACTGATTGAAGGAGAGGACCTGCGGCTGGCTGGCATGGTGCAAACCCTGTCTCTTACCGCCGGCTGCATGGGCGCCATTGGTGGTGGCATGAGCTTCGGTGCAGGAGGCATGGGCGGTGCAGGAGGAATGAGTGGGGTTGGTACTGGTGCTGGTGGACTGGGTGCTGGAAGCATTGGTGGTGGTGCTGGTACTGGTGCTGCGGGGTTGGGTACCGGACCTGGGGGTGTGGGTTTGGGTGCTGGGGGAAAGGGTGACAGCAGCATGGGTGGTGCTGGAATGGGTGCAGGTAGTGGCTCTACAGGTTCAGCTGGCATGGGCAACGGCGGTGGAGGAAATGGTGGTGTAGGCGAGGGCAGGGGTGATGGAGCTGGTGGAGGAATAGGTGGGGATGGAGGCAAAGACCGTGGAGTGGGTGGTGGAATCGGAGGCAGTGGAGGAGCTGAGGGTGTGGGTGGGGATGTTGCACTGTCAGGCTCTGGTGGGAAGGGGAAGGCTGGTGGAGAATCAGATGGATATGACGACAACATCGACGCCTACTCTGGGCAGGCTGTGGAGCTGACGGAGAGAAGGACGGTGCTTATTAGGTAAAGGTACCATCAGGTATCTTTTCTATTCCTCTTCAACAAAGCACTCAACCTTAGAAAATAAAATAAAATGAGACCCTTGATGAAAACACGATGAGTTCAAGTGTCTTAACCTGCTTTATGACAGAGTTAGAGTTAGGACCAGCATACAGCTGCTGAGAGGTTTAACAGCTGTTACAAGAATCTTTCAGTCTCTCCAACCCTCTCTTTGTTCTGTCTTCCCCAACAGAACAGTTAAGAACGAGGGTGACGTGCTGGAGACGGACCACCAGGAACAAACCTACACCATCACTGGTGCGGCCGACGACTCTGACGAGGAATGAGCAGCATGAATTCCCAAGTGACCTCCTCTCACCCTTAAGCCTCCACGCCCCTCTGAGCTTTGCACTGACCAAACCCCATGTCTGGGCACTGACCTTTGCCCTTTGCCCTGGACAAGAAGACCATGAATGACCCTTTGCTACGATGTTAAACCTTCACCTCATAGGGTTTAAATATGCCTTAACACTCAACGTGGTCTGTAAACTTTTGTGTGCCTTACACTCCCCCTTTTTTTCTATGCACTGCAAATAAAGCTATCAGCATTCATTTTACCTTGTCTGATGTCTCTTTTAAATTTTTAGTTTGAGGTGCCTTTTAAGGACACTGAATATTAGACAGTGCTGTAAACATGAGATGCTGGTAAAAATTTTGAGAGAGATGTTGCTCATGTTCAACACAGAGTGAAAAAAAGGAAAGGAGGTAGAGAAGGAAAAGCAAAACATATATGTATATATAGAGAGAGAGAGACAGAGTCACCTGAGGGTCGGGTCGAGTGCCCTGACACTTTCTGGAGGGCTGAGGGATCCATCAGTCAAATTTAGTTCTGCAGCTTACTGACGGCACACAGCCGTTTTCTGTCCTCATTCCATCCACATCCACACCTTTTCCTCCTGCTGCTGATCGGGAGCGACTGGATGTGGCCAGCAGATGCCAAACACTCTCAGTGTCCTGCTCAAGGGCCGAGAGCAGAAACATGCAACACACCAATCCTCTGACAAAACACTGCAACAAAGACAAGAAGAGGACCAGTGTTATTATGGCAGCAGCTGCATTACTGTGCTATTATTATTATAATGGGACACATCTGACTAAAGTCAACTAAAGAGCAAAAACCATAAATCTTATTCTGCATTGAAATGCCTCTACATTATATATAAAGTGTTGTGCTTATGATGAACATGGATATCTGCAAAAATATGAATGTTTCTTCCTCCAAATGAACTGTTCTATTTTCCATGTTACAACAGTTTGCTCTGGATATGCTGATTTAACACTCTTGGAACTTGGGATACAATATGTGCTTCAAAACAACAGCATTTTCCACACAAGAGAAATTCATAATGTCAGATTAACTGAGGTATTTACATTAGCCATTAAAAAACAGGATTTAACCAGAAGAAGCAAAAACAAGGAATTATAATTACCTTAAGCCAACCTTTGTTCTTGGAGTCAAGGCACCACCAGCAGCTTATTTAAAGCCATATCACTGCATTACAAATCATTTTTATAATGAATCTGCGCAGGGTGCATGTTGAAACGATCAATATTTCTCTCGGGCATCACTTCCACAAGCTCATCCCACCCGAACACGCAGGACACAATTAGTTTGAACCCAAAACTGTCAATCGGAGACATAATGAGGAGCCGCGAGACGGTCATATCATTAGATCACATTTTGTTACAGCAAATTATTAATGTGCATCCAACCCTGAAAGATGTTTATACACAAATAACCCTATAAGTTCAGGGAGATAAATACACTTAGGTTATATGTAGGAATGGAATTTATTATCAATATAATTAGTGTGTGTGTGTGTTTGTGTGTGTGTGTGTGTGTGTGTGTGTGTGTGTGTGTGTGTGTGTGTGTCTGTGTGTGTGTGCGTGCGTGTAGAATGCGGAGCTCTCCATGGTGCTTCGTCCTCAGACAGGAAAAACTGGAAAAAAAGACGAGTGTAATAAAACAAGTAGAGACATAAAACGCACATTTGCAAATTTTTATTCGTAAATTTACATCCACAGACACAAGCAGTGACTAAAAGCATTCCTTCAAAATGACATTTTCTGATGCGCAAATGTGACACAGTTTTTATTTTATTTTATTTTTTATCTCAATAAGAGACTGCCTGGTTAGATAGAGATTAAAAAAAGGAATAGGCAGATAGTGACAAAGATAGAAATTATGATTACTACTACTACCATTATTATTATCATTATTATTATTAATATTATTATTTTATTATTATTATTATTATTATTTACTGTAAAACCGTTGGAACAAATTACATAATTCCGTTTGAAAATTATACATTTTTACTATATAAAAAACAAATGAAATGAAAAAAGGTTGGGAAATGATTCAGATATTTGTTCTGGTAATAACCGTGACTTCGGCTAAAATATTGGCCCTGATTCCAACATATAGGCCGGTCAAGGTTACATGTCTTTAAACATGCTCTTTGCCATCTTAGTTGTTTTGCTCCCACTTTTATTTTGCAGAAACACACCGCATAGCCAATTGGGTCAGTAACCTTCATCCTATGAGAAAAATGGTGTTTTACTCTGAGCTGAGGGAAAGAAGGGCAAAAGTTGGGACTTTCTTTGAAACCTGTGATTTTCTGTCACTTTGTGCATATGCTTTGGGTGGCTAAATCCCAATTAGGGTCGGCTGACACGCTGCTCTATTCATGCGGAGCCCTGCCTGCATACATTTGCCTAGGAATGAACTTCTCAAATAGATCTCCTGCTAAATGCGTTGGACAGCAGAGAGAATCGGCCTGAGTGACACTTTCTTTCTGAGGCGCTCGAGTGAGAAAAGGTATGAATTTATAAGGTACACCGAAACATATCAATTCACGCAACTTCACACGCTTTTATCCGCGTCTCCTCATGCGAGACAAAGTGAGTTTAAGTCAGGGAAATGTGGCCTGAAAAAAAAAAAGCCTGGCGCAAAAAACTTTGAATACCGAAACGGTGCAGCCCCCTTCTGGGGGAAAAAAGAGAGAAGGCATTTTGAATGAAATCACGCATGAACAGCGTTGAATCAGGTGCCGTTTATTCGGCTCCTCTCTAATGCGATTTTGAATATTAGTCTGGGTTAAAATCCCAATCATGTCATCTGGTGGGAGTCCCATACAAGCATCATTACTATTCAAACGCGTCGCAAATGTCCCACCCGCATCAAGGCAGCTGGTCTCCCTTTGGTGCAGCTTGCATCTTTCCCCAGGTTTCTCAGACAGTAAAACACCTCAAACATGACCCGGGTTTGTTTTAAATAAAGAAAAGAGAGGCGAAGAAAGGGATTAAAAAGGGCCTGTCTGAATCTTTTTTTTTTCTGGTTTCACATCTGAAAGGAATAATAATAAGTTCAGATTCTTTTGCTGGACAGAGTAAAAAAAACAAAACAAAAAAACAAAAAAAAAAAACAAAAAAAAAACCATGAGAATTTCAGCCTTCTTTTTTAATTAAAAGAAGTGTGACCAAATGAATGTGAGAGGTGCAGAAGGTGTGGGCTTACATGTGGAGAAATAAATGGATTTAGACCAACACAAAGTCATTTCTAAGACGTGGGAATCTGTGAGAAATAGACCACATTGCTAAGTGGGACAATGATTGGGCTCTGCTGAATAGACCCAAACAAAGTTTATGGGTCGACATAAAAAATGTGTTTTCTTCTGAGCTCAGAGGGGTCTTAAATGGTAGGCCATTGAAACCAGTCCAGGAGAGGTGGTGGTGAACCCTTGGCACCCCTGAGGTATAGTCAAGTCGCATGAATGGTGATCCCTGGTGGGGCATTGCTCTCTGTATTTACCGCGTTGCTTTGCAGACAGGTTGTTCCTCTATATTCATGGCTCATTAATGGCCAACCAGTTAAATCAGAGCCCCTCCGTTTAGACAGTTGAAATCCAAAAGAGGCTGGCAAGAGCCGGGCACAGCCGCCCATAAAAACGTCTCCCTCCTCTCCCGAACTCCGATTCTTCTCAGGTCGTTATTTAAGTTCATTAAACAGACGCAGAGTTCAGTTAAGAGAAGCGCACTTGCAAAATGCTGATGATTGACTCCGCAATATTGTCCCGGAGTAAAGATCCGACCTTGTAATTAATGTGTCTTTTTCTTTCTAAAAAGTAGGAGGGACAATACCGCCGGTCAGGCCATTTAATTTCATTTAATTTTCCATCCCATTTGCTTCCAACACTGCTTTCACTCTGACACCGAGCCTTTTCACTGCTCCTCGGGGCTGCGGAGCGCACAGCGGAGCGGGGATTCACCCCAGCGACTTCTCCGCAAAACAGAAAGGAAAACGTCTTCGCCTTCTTCCCCCTCTCCTCGGAAGAATAATTCATTTCACTGTGGAGAAGTGCGGGGCTTTAAAGCAACGGCGCAGGGGTGGATGGGAACCAGCAGCAAATGCCGAGGCGTTAATAAATAACCCCTCCGCACAGCCGGGTGCAAACGTTGCGCCTATTGATGAGATTGTTCGCGTGTCGTTCAGGCTCTTTGACTGAGTGTGGAGGAGCGCAGGGAGGAGAGAGAGAGAGAGAGAGAGAGAGAGAGAGAGAGAGAGACAGGAGCAACACGGGGCGCCTGCAGAGAGAGAGAGAGAGAGAGAGAGAGGGAGAGAGAGAGAGATGAATGTGTAATAGTTGTTTGTTTGCAGCCTTTTATTTTATCACCACCTGAACCGTTTAGTTTTTGGGGAGCAACAAAAGACAACTCTCATATAATAAAGTTAATGCATCAATGATTTCAACTGTAGATTGTGTTTTATTGATATTGTTTTCATTCATTCTTTAAAAAAAAAAAAAGAAAACAGCACAGATGCAGCGTTGCACTACTTTTTCTCCAGGACACTCTAGATATCACATGTTCCTGCTCCTTCTCATGATTCAGATCCAGAGTCCAGAGCGGACAGGTCAGAGGTCAACACGTTCATGGTCTGAATTGATCACCCACAAATTCTTGTTCTTCTTCTCTCTTCAGACTCATCACTGCAGCATGAAAAGGCTATTTAAACAACCTGCTGCACAGAGCCACATGCTGCAGCCTCCCTTTCCCTTCACACATGCCATTGGTACTATTGAATGTTTATGACAAACCAGCAAGTCAATCAGTCACTGAAAGCTTTTGGATCCTTCTGTCTGAAGTAGGTATATGATATTATATCACATTAAGCTTTTGATCACCTGAATGTTACAGTTCATCATCATCAAAGTTCCTCCAGAAAAGAGGTTTGGAGTTAATGTTGCATTTGAGTGTTAGGTTATTATTTTTCTCACCTACACTGCACAGTAGAAACAAGATGTCTCCATTTTTGGAAATATTGAATTTTTCAGATGAACGTCCACCGTTTAAGAAATAAAAATGCAGCTTCTCTCATGAAAATCTTTGGTGATAGGTGGTTTTCACAGGACACTACTGTCATGCAATTTTTTTAAATGACAAAAATCAATCAATCAATCAATCAATCAATCAATCAATCAATCAATCAATCAATCAATCAATCAATCAATCAATCAATCAATCAATCAATCAATCAATCAAGACACTTAAGTTACTCAAGTCAGTTCATCAATCAATAAGAATCAATCATCAATCAGTATATTTCTGTGATATTCCTGTATGTAAGCTGTCTCTGGGTTTGGTGTGGATTTACAGTGAGCATGTTCATTGAAATAAATTCTAAAACGCCTGATTTTCCTCACGTTATTTCATATTTATATTTTAACAATCTATTCAAAGAATATTCTTGCGGGACATTTGCAGCATATGATCATGTGAAAATCGTCCTATTTTTTTAAACATTGTTTTCTCGGTCATTTATTTTATAGGCCAAGAGGAACATCTTTTAAGAATAATTCAAATTCAAAATTCAGAATAATTTTTTTTCCCACTATAACAGAAAAAATGACGCAGTTATTAAAAGAAATATCACAACTGATTTGTGTAACTTTTTTTCTGTCTCTTGCACAAATAGCAGAATAAACGTGTTGAATGAGGGGGACACGACAAGAAGACCACAAGTGTGTGTGTGTGCGTTGGGAAAATGGTGATGTTATTTTCTAGTGTTTTTTTTTTCCTTCTTCTTCTTCCTACTGGTGGTTCTGCCTTTTCAGTACCTGCCTGATCTCAACCCGGCACACGCCGAGAGTCAATAGAAGTTAACAAGTCCTCTAAACTTTCCTGCTCCTTTTGTTCACGTAAGGACACAAAAGAGGAGGGAGAATAAAGAAGCTTTGAAGTATATAAAACCCAAAGAATGCCAGCCAAGTAGATTTAAAGTAGCCACTGATTTCCAAAACCTGGCTTGAAAGGGAAGAATGGAAAAGGGTGAGGATTTATGGATAAATTATACAGTGGATTTGTCAGTTAAAATATCGGAACTGTCTGGAGGACAAAGCCACATGCTGAGGATTAATGGTCGCTCTGGACCTTTGATTCTGCACCCTCTTTTCTCTGCCCTTGACAAATTGGATTTTGGGGATGGGAAGGTCGCCTGGCCCTTTGTGTCTCTTGACCGTTTTGGAGCAATTCATTATGCGGCGGGGTGAGGGAAAGTCTCCATGTGACCAGGCCGGCCCGTTTTCCCTCTCCACACAGCTGCTGGGAGAGCCCAACTCTCTCACACTCACACACACACACACACACACACACACACACACACACACACACACACACACACACCCCCGTAGCTATCCACAACACCACACAACAAACACGAACAACACACACACACTCCTGCTGGCTGCTGCTGCAAACTCAGGACCGCTCCCCCTCTCTCCTCCCCCCTTTAAACTACCTAACATAGCACAGCATCACCTCTCTGCCCACCCTACCCCCCACCCCCAATTCAATACACACACTTGCATCCTGAGTTAGAGAGGGGCGTGTGTGGAGTGGAGGGGGAGGGGGGGTGGGGGCTACCTTGCCTGCACCATCACTAGAAAAGCCGGAGAGCATAACGCCACCGCGTCACTTTGAGGGCGGATATCGGCCGGTCCTCATCCTCTCCTCCTCTCTTCCTCCTCCTCTTCCTCCTTCCCTGCACTCTCCCACTCGGTCTCCATCAGTCTTCATGGTTCTGATCTCACCCCACGCCATGCAAGCCACCCGGGCGTCCACCACCGTCAGTGTGTTTACGGACTGCAGCATCCCGGCCGGGCTCCGGATAGGACCGGTACCGGGCATCTTCAAACTCGGGAAGTACGTGTCGGATCGTAAGGAAGTTGGACCCAAGAAGAAGGTGAGGTTAAAATACTGAAACTTTTAAAATACGATAGTGGGTTTTTTTGTTTGTTTTTTTGTTTGTTTGTTTGTTTGTTTGTTTGTTTGTTTTTAATGCTCTTATTTTGAAATATTTTGAAGTGATCTGGGTTAATCAGCTGCACACTGGAGATCTCTGAATGAAAGCTGTATTGCGGTATTTCAAAATAAACTTTAACGTCTTTATTTAATATGTATTTATTTATTCCAATACCGAATCAAAGCCCTTTTAATTGAAAAGAAAATTGAGATTATTTTTGAACTAATTCCCAAGTTTTAATGAGCAAAATTTATGCCATCGATTACAAAAATAATGTAAACATCAAAACACACTGTAAATTGAAGCATGTGTAATATTAAAAACGACCCAGTTGGATTTAAAGCTGCACCGTCAAACTCCATCGGGCCTTTGGTTATTAATTGGTTTGGCCTGTCACGTTGGAAATAATTGAGCTCCATTAGTGGCAGACTTGTCAGTCTGTGCTTCTACTTAACCGGCCTAATGGGCGACCCGGGTCCGCTGTGTGGGATTTCATGCCCTCAGCCGCCTCACATTTCACTGCCTGGCGGGCCTGTTATTCCGATGAGCCGTTTAATTTTAATGTAATCCGGCCACAGAAAGATGCCACTGAGGCCGTGGCCCGCTGCCTGGGGCTAAGAAAAAATACTAACAATTATAACTAATATAAAAGATAAAATCAAACAAGCTGCATTCATGTTATTAGACTGGGTTATGCTGTTCAGATGAACAGGAGTCTGATATTCTTTTTTTTCCCAGTGGGCCTAATAATTAGAAAATAAAAGTCTTCAGATATGGATTTAAAAAAAAAAAAGACACTTAAAAAAATGAAGAAAAAAAAAATTTTAAAAAAATTTTGTTGTTTTTTTTTTTTTTTTTTTTTTACATAAACAGTGGTAAACAATTTGCTGCTGTGGGCGCATCTATAACCGCACCCAGTTATTGTTGAAGCTGTCAGCGATTGTGATTGATGCGTCTAAATGCTTGGCCCCGGGCTGCCGGCGATCATCAGGTGCAATCTCTGTGTCAAATGTCACGCTTCGATCTTTAATGTCCTTGAACAGTTTAGAAACGCTCTGACACTCCTCAAATTCGTTTCCCATATCAACTCAATTAGGCCTGTGTGTCATTCTCTTTAGTAAATTATCAGCAGAGCGGATAAAGACGCATTAAGCGCGTTTTGGTCAAGCGTGGCCGCGGCACCTCCAGGTACTTCACCACAAAGTCCTGGGCCACGACATTTAAAGCAGAATTCGTTAAATAAAATCATGTATTGGCCTAAAGAAATAAATGGATGATAATAATAATTAGTTTGGAGATACAAACTGAAAAAGACAAGCCAAATGTTTTCTTTTCTTGCCCACAGCCTGTAACCTATTCATTTCATCATGTATATGTTTTTCCTTTAAGGCCCTCTGTGTTCGTGCCCATCATTTTATCATATTGTAGAGCTCGTTCTCATCCGTTTCATTTTCTGGCCCGCTTAGATCCGCTTGGTTCGGGGGGAGTTCGTGGATGAGTCGGGCTGTCCCGTACCAGACTGGATCGGATTCATCCGCGCCGCCAGGAACAGTCAAGAGCAAAACCTGGAGGCTGTGTCGGACTTACCTGGTGGACAGGTGATTTTTTTTTTTACACATAGACCTATTGGAGTTTCTTCTGTTGTTGTTTTTTTTTTCTACCCATATTTAGACTCTTGAATTAACTCCATCCTCTCTTCCCCTCTTACATGTTCCTCTGTAAGATTTTCTACCGAGTGCTGAGAGAAATCCCCGCAGGAGAGGAGCTCAGTGTCTGGTACTCCAACCCTCTGGCCCAGTGGTACGACATCCCCACCACGGCCACTCCCACGCACGACGAGAAAGGTAAATCACACTAATAATGGAGGACCAATTTAACCAAACGTCTTTTACTCACTGATGGGAAATAAGATGATTGGGAAAGTTAATGCGAACTCTGAACGATGATATCTGGGTGGAAGCAGAAGATTTTACTTGTAAAAATAACAATACTAAATACTTATAATAACAATAATAACGATAATTATGTAACGACAAAATTCAATAGTCCATTTAAAAGACTGTTTTCAGATTCTGTGTCAACACGCTGAGAGCAGCTGCAGTCCTGTGTGTCCAGGCTACAGATTGGTCATCGACATGTTGAGGCTCCATCACTGTGCGGTTAAATGACTGCCAATACTTTATCACTCAGATATGGAAATCAATTGCATGTTGTTTTTCCTCGGGCTTCATGTTTTTTTTAATTATTAATTTATTTCATTTAAATAAAATCACACATATCCATTAAATACGAAAAAGGAAATATTAAAAAAAGATTAATTTTGGAATGAAAAGAGAAGCTTTAAGATAGAAACTGAAAGAGATAAAAAAAAGAGAAGAGATGATTATTACATTGACAACAAAGGCCCTGAAATAAAAAAGTGCAGTTTAGACTCTGTGGTCTGATCTCAATATTTTTTACCATCTATAACCGCTCCTCATTTTCAGACTGATTTCCTGTTTTGTCTTTGGTCTGTTTGGACGTTTAATCCATTTGTTTGGGCTGTAATGGTAATTTGGCCTCTGCGCTTGGGGATTAATGTCTTCTCTTTGGCAAAACACCAGCTCAACAGGAACTAATCCGTTTTAAAAAAGATTATTATCAACAGATACAGATTGCAGGAAATTCCTCCAAGAGACGATGATTTTGGATTAGTCTACTCTTTGTTTCCAGTTGGAAAAGTCTCTTTGCAAGCTGAATAAATGTAAAAGGAAAACGATGGTGCCTGAAGTGGCAGGCTATCAAATTTGTGTCGAGGAAAAAAAGAAAGAAAATGTAATAAAGTAATTACGGTGCTTGAAACACACAATAAAACAGCAATTAAAAGCAGAAAATGGCGTGTCTGCGCGACCGTGGAAGAAGAAGAGGCTGGTGATTCAGTCCCGAGACGGAGGTTAACAAATGCCACCGCGTCATTAATATTCATGTTGTCAAAAGCAAATAAATTCAAAAACAAGTGCTTCACGGTAAATTAGGTGGGTGCGTTAAGGTATTGTGGCCTAATGAATGCTAACTTTTATGTGGGGTGTATATTGCCCTGATTCTCCGGCCCAACACACCGTGTGCGCTCCTGGACATACGCTCGCTCCCATTATTAGGCGTCAACAGATGGGCCGGCGCCATTGTTTCTGGAGACTTGCGATTTCAAGCAACAGCTGCTGTCACTTCCACGGGAAAGAGCACAGAGAGAGGGAAAGTGCCGCGTTCAATGCATTGCGTTTCTGAGCGCCAGATTGGGCAGGGCGTTTGCTCTTTTGATGGCGATCATAAACAATGGCCCGTATGAGGATTACAAAATCATTACATCTATATTAACCTCTGAGTGCTCGCCTGGAGGTCATTAAGATGGGTCCCTGGGTCTATTACCATTTGGCATCAGATCTTAGAAACCGGATCATATCCATTAGGCCTGAATTTAAATATCAGGTGAAGCGACTGGTGAAAATCTTTCTTTAAAGTGACATTTTAAAGTGGAAATTCATCAAATATGAAAATGTTTTAACACAAATTTGATGTAATCACGTGTATTTTCTATTATATCACTCTTTATTCAAATTATATGCGGGTGGTGTGTGTAGAGTGGTGTGCTGCTCTGTGTAAGCGATCACAAGTCGTGTCTCCACAGGTTGCCAAACCTGTTATTTTGATTTTACGCATGGGCCTGGCAGTTTTACGCACGGAAATATACTGCAAATTCGCATGTCATCAGTATGAAGTTGTTTCACTCTGTGTTGTGTCGCGTAATCATCCGCATCCAGCTCATCACTGACGCCATGTTTGCTGTTGTCTCTACAGGTGAGGAGCGCTACATCTGCTGGTACTGTTGGAGAATATTCAAATACCCGAACACGCTCAAGGCCCACGTCCACTTCCACTGTGCTCTGAGCAACGGGCGGGGGTTTGTGAGCAGCGAACAGGCCAGAGGCACCGAGACGTTCAGCAGGTCACCAAAGTCTGGAGACATCCCCAACACCTCCACCTCTCCGAGGAGCGGCCACAGCAACTCCTCCATCTCAGACTCTGGCAGGCGGGCAGTGTCCTCCTCGTCGTTTCTAAACAAAGCGGGACTGTCAAAGAAAAGCAGCTCTGAGGAGCAGGACAGGGCCCTCGACATGAGCGTCACCTCAGCCAGAAGCCACGGACAGCTCCTCAGCCTGGGCGCCACATCCTCTGTGCTGAGCAGCATGGGCTTCCACCCGGGTGTGCGCTCTGCCTTCAAGCCGACCGGCGTCTCCAAAGTCCCTGCCGCGGACGCCTCCAGAGAGGACGCCAACGGGAAGCTTAGTGGTCTGGGATTCAGCAAACTCATTGGGAACATGAAACCAATCCGCAATGTGGGCGAGACTCTAAATGGAGGAGGGAGCCATCCTCCAAAATGCGCACCTGCAATCATGGACGCCACATCTCCAATGGCGCCTTGCACAAACGCTATCCGGGGTTTCCCGTTGCTGCCTCACATGGAGGAGACCTCGGCTTTTAAACACGTGGAGAGTCGGATGCACTCCGGCCTGTCCCCGTCCCGTTACCCTCAGATGCCCCCTGGACTCCATTTTGAGAGGTTCACCCTCCCTCACTTCGACGGTGTTAAAACTTATGGGGGAGACTGTAACATCCCACTGATGCCCTTCACTGTCTACAACGGGGAGCTTCTGTACAGCTCCCCTTACTATCCGCTGAAATTCCACTTCGGCAACCTCCTCAAGTACCCAGAGTCCATGTCCTACTTTGGCGCGCCCGCACTGAGCCAAGACCTGGGCTCCATCACAAACATCGACCGGGAGATCGCCATGCACACGCAACAGCTGTCAGAAATCGCCGCGGAGAAGAACCGGACGAGGCTGGACACGATGCCCACCGGGGCTGCCAGCAACGCCGGGTCTGGCAAACCGAAAAAGGGACACCTGTGTCTGTACTGCGGCAAGCTGTACTCCAGAAAATACGGCCTGAAAATCCACATGAGGACTCACACAGGTTACAAACCGCTCAAGTGCAAGGTGTGCTTCAGGCCCTTTGGAGACCCGAGCAACCTGAACAAACACATCCGGCTCCACGCCGAGGGAAACACCCCCTACAGGTGCGACTTCTGCGGCAAGGTGCTGGTGCGGAGGCGGGACCTGGAGAGGCACGTCAAGTCCAGACACCCGGGACAGACCGTCAAGAAATTGGACGACAAACCGGGAGGCCTGTTCGAGGACGCGGAGCAAAAGAGCGACAATGACAGTGATGTGGACGTGTGCTTCACTGACGACCAGAGCGACCAGGAGTCCAGCAAAAATAATGACTGAGGTGTTTTCACGCGCGTAGAGAGACTGCCCATTGTCTTTAAATGGTGTACACAACAAACAAAAAAAGTCATTTAGTCTTGTATTTACCCAAGAGCGTCTGAACTACACAACATGACACCAAAACCTCCAAATTTAGCCCAACATAAATCTGCAATTCAAATCATTAACCACACAGCTAAATAGAGTTTTTGTTTGGTTTTTCATAAACTTTATTGTTCATATATTATTTACAGGTGACAGGTAAAATGTTTGGTGTCTTGCTCTAGGACACTGTCTTCAAAAAAAACAAACAAAAAAAAAAACAAAACATCTGTGGCCTGTGGGTTTTGGCATGCGTCCTCAGCCACGATCACAGACAAACGACACAATCTTCCAGTGCTGTTTCAGGCATTTTCGTTTGTTTGAAATGCAAATCACCATAATAGTTTTCTTTTTTTTTCATTAACCTGCCTTTATCTGCCGCGTTTCAAATACTGACACTTCTACAAAACCATCAAAACAACTGCACACAAAACAACAACAATGATCCACCCTCAGTTACAGACATTTTCAGTCGCTTTTTAGAAAAAGAAAAATTAAAAAAATCAAGGTTGAATATGAGACTAAATGACTTCTTAAGTTAGATATATTTTTGCAGTGTAAAAAAAAAAAAGAACAGTTTTTTGTAACATGTCTCCCCCTGAGAGAAGATCCATGAGCTTCACTAAAAAGAAAAGAAAAAAGCACTACATTCCATCAGACTGGATGTGGACACATTCTGGGAAATTAAGAGCTGCAAAAGAATATGATTCTTTTTTTTATTATTATTATTATTATTTTGTTTTAATTGTGAATAACAATGCGTAACGCACTCGCAATATCCCCACATTCCCTCCTAAACTGTTAGTTGCACTTTAAAAACAGCAATGGGCATTTCACTTCAAAAAATCACCTGCACAATAATTCTTATAACCGAACTTATTCATTTCATCTCTTCATTAAAGCTTTGTTTTTCCCTGCGCCTCGCAGGATCACACACTGGACTTCAATTTGCACTTTCTTGCGGAGGCGCGCTGTTCTTAAAGAGGCAGCAGCAGCAGCAGCAGCAACAGCAGCAGCACCCAGTTTATTTAAGGAAGTATTTCTAGAGAAAGAAAAATGTATTGATTGCAGTTAAAAGGCTATGTAAAGAAGTGTAAAGTATGATATTTCACATTTGAGTGGAGAAGTGTTGTATACGTTTGTTTATAAGTGATATTGTCTGCGAGGACAATATCTTACTCCTGTCCATTAAGTCGTTGGTTTTTGAATAAATTTATTTAAAACATCAGAAGACTTGTTTGGAGATGTTTTTATCCATGAGATTTTCAGTATTAATAACAACGCTAACCATCACGTTTTCCATGTAAAACACGATTAAAGGTCTAAAAGATATTTTATTTTATTTTACTTCCTATATATAGTTCCAGCTGTGTGAGACAAAACCAGCCCCAAGAATGCAGTTTAACAGACAGACATGTACACATACAGATGGGCGAGAACATTATGTCGGTTTATAATTAAGTGTCTCTACAGCTGAGCTGCAGTAATAAATCCACAGCAGCGCTCAGCCATCGGGCCTGTTGCCGTGGAAGGAGCAGCAAGGCTAAAAGAGAACAATATCTGTTTCTATTCTTATTCTTCTCCTTTCATTAATAATAATAATAATAATAATAATAATAATAAGGTCACATTAAACCCATTACACTAGGTGGAAATGTTATGAGATGTTTTTGTTCCTGTGGTAGAAGAAGCATTCAAATCCTTGACTTCATGTCACTGTAATGGATTTATAAAGCACTGCCGTGTTAAACGCTGTTACAGGTATAAAAGTCCTGCACTAACCTATGTAAATATTATCAGCAAACTGTACTTAAAGCATTCAGTGCAAAAACACTGGCTGTTGTGAGTGTTACACCTTTAAACAGGCAACAGTATTATTATATTATTAAATCATTAATACTCATGCATGAATGTGTTATTAGTATTTTCATTGAGGAGTTAATTTAAGTTTTTTTTATAGGCCCATCATATATTTGTATGTATAATACTGATGTGTAAATAGTGTAATTATAGCTGTCTAATTAAAAACAAACTCTCAGAAATGTGGAGTAAAATAATAAAGTGACATGAAATGGAAACACTGGAGTGAAATACAAGCAACTGCAATTTGCACTTAGGTACAAGACTTGAGTAAATGTACTTAGTTACATTCCAACACTGCTTTCTGCACGGACCCATTGTAAAAAAAAAAAAAAACAGAACAAACACAAAAAAAACCTACTGATCAGAGGTCACACTGACAGATTAGAAGAAAAAGAAAACTGAAACCTGCAGAAGCCTCCAGCTGCTTGGCCAGAGAGAAAAATAAAATCCTTCAGCAGCTTTAGAGAAAATTATCCAAAGAGATCCTTTGAAAATGTTGGGTCAAAGGATCAGAGAAGAAGATTTATGGTATATAAGAATTCATCTTCAAAGGGAAATTCCTCAGAAATATTTAAACCAAGCTAAAATACGAATATTGAATATTTCTAGTGTATGCCAAGGAATTTGTCTTATTAGATGCTTGCAGTTCATGTGTCTTTATCAGCGTTCCCACAAGCCTCTACGGTTTTGTTTCATTGTTAAGGCATGGATTTTGAAATGGGGAAAATAAGCTGCCACCTCCTATTTGAATGTGGTGGAGTCCAGCAGGCTTGGTATCCTGTCAGTTCAGCGGCTGCTTTCCACACACTTCTCCTCCAATGACCAGTCAAACCGCCTCCACTTCACACACAGGAGAGCAGAGAAAACAAGTGCAGCCATTTTTGAGACATTCCACTGATGTGGTATAACAAATCTAAAATCTTAAAGCTTCAGAATAACTGACTCCACTTCTGATGACTATATTTCAGTTGTGTCTATTATTTCCTTTATGCTTTGTGTCATATTTTCTGATTGAAAATATGAAAAACTGATAGTTGTTGCAGAGTTTCTTTCACTCTACAACTACCCTGCATCCGTGCTTTGTTTTGCCACACAATTCCCTTTGGCTGTGTGCAACGGACAAATAAAGAGCAGACAACCCAATGACAGTCGCCAGCAATTTAATACTTTAAATTGGCCGCTGGTGAATGACCGTCTCATTTCTACAAGCTGCACAGGCGGTAAGGATAAGTGTGACCTTGATGTGGCATAGTCAATCCATTTGTAATAATTTTAAAGAATTCACCTATAGTGCACCACTATATTCAATCTCTCCTGTCCCTGTCACTTCTGTTGAATACATTGTCATGGTGGTGACACTGGAAAAACACTTCAGCTCAAAAATACATATAACAGGAGTCACACACATATTTCTCTCCTTTCTCTTTTCAAAGTGTTCAGGCTGAGATCTTCTAAATCTGACATTTCTCGCATTTTCAATACAAGCCAGACATTGTGTGTCTCCTATGTCACAACTCACACCTACACTTTTAAACAAGGCTGCTGCATCATTACTTAAGGTACAATATTCCCCTAAACAGCCCGTGTGTTAAACTGAAATAGCCTGCAGAAAAGGATTTCCAACCATCAGACATGCATTGATTTTCTGTGACATAAAAGGACTCAAAATTCAAATTTTGTAAGACAAGCAGCAAAAATATAAGGTAAAGCTGCTGAAAATCACAATATATGAAAGTGAAGCAATCTTCACTGACTCAGCTTTTCTGTTTGGGGACTAATGTGATAGGAGAATGATAGATCTCCACCTATTGTGTCTTTGGCCGAAATAACCTGTAGGTCCTCTGAGGTTGTAGATTATTCATTTCAATGTAATATAAACTAACATGGGGTTCATCTTTCATGTATGAAACTTCACCTCACCAGGCAAGATACAAGATTGTGAGTGGAGTGCAAAACTCAGTGGACTCCAGTTTCGATTGTTTCTATCATTAACAAATCTTATCTTATTTGCATTTAATAATGATAATATATTTTAAATGTGCTTGAATTAAAAAAAAAACAAAACAAGCCTGCATAGCTAACACATGCAGTATTTCAGGCCATGAATTACTGATTTGAGGTTACTAATTACTCATTTCTAGTATGAAATGCAGTTAATCAGTTACTCATAATGCATTACTGACTGAAAAATAATCAAATTACATCACCAATTACTTAACAGCAAAATTAATCTGTCACATTACTTTTGTTACTCAGCTGACACCCACAACCTTTAAAATCCTCACATATTCTGTATATAACACGTGTAAAATCACAAACAAGACACGATGGTTTAAAAAGCAGCCAGCCAAGGTCTTTACTGACCATCAGCTAGCTTATCGTTAGCACTTCCTCACAGTGAAGCTACAGGGTTCACGTACCCTCCAGCTTCAGGTGATATTTGAATGTAGGCTAATGTTAGAAAGCTAGCTAAGAATATACAACCTATAAACATGACATCGTTGGGGTCAGCTGGAGTTGTTATTCTCCTCTTTTTGGTAAAGGCTAACTACATGTGGAAGCTAACTACACCCCCCCATGCTTTTAGTCTGCTATAGTTAATGGACCGGTCATTCCACAAAAACCAGACTAATATCAACACCTCCACTGAACTTCCTGTCACACGCCAGACAAGCCAATGTTGTCTCATTACTAAATTTCACATTGCTGTAACTTGTTACTAGCTAATGCAGTATAGGGAAATGTATGTGGACAAGTTACCAGGTGTCTGCAGGACTCTGTACTAAATAACATTCATATTTTTGAATTTTCAAAGCAAACTCTAACCTATTTTACCTGACATAGCTGCACGCTTTTTCTTTTTTTGTGGCTCATTTCAGCAAAAAATGTGTGTATTTTGCTTGAAAAAATAACAATACCACAAGTATCAAAATACATTAGAAAGTGGTAGTATTCAGTAACAAGTTGGACCCCAATCTAACATGCTGGGACACACATGTACTATCCCAATTCAAGCACTACCTCTTATGCCTCAATGGATTTGAGTGGAAGCTTTG